TGTGTTGCATGCTTACTATTGTTATACTAGACTGATGATTTTATTGCAAAGATAGAGTCGGTATTCATTTTGTTGTCCCAGATGAGCCTGCTACATACTGTATTCATACCCACTCAACTATGAAGACATGCTGGAAGTCACGTTGTGTTAACTTTTTTTATTTAAAGTATAATCAAATATTAGGATTTAACTGTCAAAAATACTTTAAACCAGTATTAATATTATTTATCAAAGGATGACAGGGAAAGAAATGCCTAAAACAATTCCCACTAGGCCACAGGGCCAGTGAGTGGACAATAATTAGTGGTCCTGTCTGTACTTCACTGGTCCAGACCCGTGAAGATCCGGGTAGAATAGGTCTTCAGCAACCCATGCTTGTCACAAAAGGCTGTCGTAAGAGGCGACTAACGGGATCGGGTGGTCAGGCTCGCTGACTTGGTTGACACTTGTCATCGGTTCCCAATTGCGCAGATCAATGCTCATGCTGTTGATCACTGGATTGTCTTGTCCAGACTTGATTATTTACAGACCTCTGTCATATAGCTTGAATATTGCTGAGTGTGGCGTAAAACTAAACTCACTCACTCACTCACTTCACTGGTCCAAAATAACATCGTAGATTTACTTAACTATCAATACAAAATTCACTGGCCACAAGGACCACTGCAGACTTATTTAGTGGACCAGATGAATTTTTACTAGCAAGGGACCACAGGACGTAAATTTCGCACACTGGATAATTGCCCTTTCCAAAGGTGACTCTTTAGGTAACTTTGCCAGCCATGCTCCATTTACCATTGAGTTTCTACTCGTTTTTCATCATTCTCTCTGGGTATTGCTAGTTTTTTATTTATTCAACCTGTATTTGGGGGTGGGTGGGATAACCTAGTGATTAAAGCGATCGTGCAAGTTTTAGTGAATTCGAGCGAATTCTTTCAATTGAAATAAAAGTTTTAGGTGACTACTGTTGGCATTTGTTTTTTCTGCTGCCCAAGTGTGTCACATGTCACATGTCACATCTCACATGAGTATAGATTGATAGTGCTAAAGAATAAGCATGTAACTGTGACACATGTCAAATTGCCATTTTATTGCAAATTCACTGCAGCATGTTTCAGGCATAAGTGATATCAACATTCAGTCAATAAATGCAGATATTTAGAGACATACAGGTATGCATATGGAAAAGACTACATTTGGTGCTTACAAACAGCGGTGTGGGTTTTACGTTCACCTTCCAAACTAGGAGTCGAGAAGACCCCAGTAACTAATTTCAAGGGATTTTCAAGGTCAGTTAAGATATGGCATGGTGTAATTCACTGTACTGATGATTGAATAATTATTTTAATTACAGGAACTTTATATTTTTTGTCAAGAATTTAGTAATTGAATATTAATGTTTGTCCCTTGGGTGCAATACGTATATTTTTCTGGGTCCATATTTGTGTGTACTGGACATACATTTCTGCTTCGCGTAAAAACCTGAGTGTTGATTTAATTTTTGTGTGCATTTACCTCTTTCACGCATATTTGTATGAACCCTAAAATCAGTAGAGTAATGGTGACTTCTTGGGTGTATTTCATGCAAATACACAGATTATTTCGAGCTGAACTAGTGTCTGTGGAGATAATGCCCTTTAGAAAATGGTCAAATGTAACAGGTGATATATTTGACCCCTTTCCAAGGCATTGTTTATTCATATGTACCCTTCTGTTTTAATCTGATGACATGCACCATGCAATGGCCAAGCAAACTCTGATACAGTACCTGAATCACACCCAGGGACCATTGTCAGCTGAAGCCATGAAAAGATTAAAAAAATATCAAGCAGATGATACAAAACATATAATGCCCCCAGCACACATTTCTCGAAGCTTGAAGACTGACTTGCTGTGATATAAATGGCATACTGCATATCATGATCTAATTTAGATTTTCAGAAATAGTTATTGACAATGTCTTGCTCAGTGTCTTACATCATCGGTGTAACAATGTACCTTGAAGGTGCTTCGTTTCCTGATTTATGGCTGTGATTATCATGATGAACACTGATTGTGACGAGCATTGCAGCATTACTTACTGAAAGCTGTCATATGTATTTCAGATCAGTGGGTCAGCTGTCTGTCTGACAGTTATTCTGGTAGACATTAGGGACAGGACATGAACACTATATTTAACACTGTCAGTACAGGGAGGCTAGAGCTGTGGGGTGTCAGGCTAGAGTCTAGATCCTCAGAATAGCACTAAGTCAGGGATAGAAATACTTTTTTTCTAAGTGTGACTTAGGGCACCAGGCAAATATTTTAGGTGTGCCTTCCAGAAATCAAGTTTGCCCACATGTTTTTAGAACAAATGACTGTAGCAATGATGATGATCTTTGGAATTGTTTTGTTAGTAAACAACAAATGTAACCTGTTTTCTGCTATCACTGATATGTCTTCTGTTTAAGATGGCTTTCTTAAGGTTCATTTGTTCTGCTTTCCCAACACCTTTAATAGCTAAGAAATTTGTGTCAGGTTCACTTATATCTAACATACACAATTTCCTCTTCAATAACAAAACTATCAGTACTCACAACACTCTAAATGGAAAAACAACCAGATTTCTTTACATCATCCATCATAATTCCAGTGATTTTCTGCTCAATAAAGTCAATAAATGTCTTTGCTTATTTGTCATTTGAGTAAGTGTTTTGTTTTGGGGATTAAATGACTAAAGGTGAGTTATGTCTCTAAAAATTAGGTGTGCCATAAGGGCACTGAGAACATTTTTTATCCGTGCCATTTCAATATTTACCGTGCCATGGCACGCTAATATATGGGGTATTTCAAACCCTGCACTTAGTCACTGAGTATATATAATTTCGCTAGAAACAAGGAACTGCATTTAAACCAAAAAGGAGCCCCAGTGAGGTGGGAGATAAAGGACCTAAGGAAAGTTTAGAATTGCTCTGTTTATACCGATTTTATTTGCATGAATTCTATGTGAATTTGACAAGAGGCAGGAAGCAATAGAAACCAAAACTAATATCAAGGTTGATTTGCAGCCAATTTCCTGTTTTCATTCAAACCGCATTTTCATATCATGTCTTTTTTGTCATTATCTCATTTTTATTGTATTTCATACTTGTTATATTAACATTTTGTATAATATCCTATTTCTTATTATCTCGTACTGCATACCGTGTATTAAGTGCCTTGAGTACTCACTTAGATAAACATCTCTATACATTTATTGTGATATTAATATGATATCAGGAAGGAAATGTCTGTCTTTTAGCTGAAAACAGGATGAATCATATCATGTTTTCAAAAAATAGTTTGTTGCTCTTACTGGGCCTGACTGGACATAAATTGCTCTAATGTATTGTCTCTGAAAATATATTTTTGATACAAACAAAGGACTCCATTTAAACTGAAAAGGAGCCCCAGAAATATGGTCAGTTTGGAACATGCAGAAAATCTAGAGATGCATCAGAGCCAGTATGACAGAAAGGGCTGGAGAGGGGTGGGTGGGGGGGTGGGGACTAATATGGTTGAGGGACTGTGAGACAAACTGCCAGGTCTCCAGCACCATATGGTGGTCTTGAGAGGTGACTTAATGGATTGTGTGGTTCAATATAAACACGATCTCATAAGGGACCATTTTAAAAGTTCAATGTAGCATAGAGGAATGATTTCTTTATGTTTTGAGGCATATATCTCCTACCCCCCAAAAAACTTACTTCTGAAAAATGTTGAATTCCTTGTCTTTTTTAGCCACAAACAATGTTTTTGAACCCATGATCAATGTATTGTTACAGAACTTGAAGACTACAGGGCCATTTAATTATATCATTTCTCAAGTGAAATGTTCTTGAGCACTTGCTCTGGGCCCAGTAATCTTATAGGATATGTTTAACCCATGACTGGTTTTACTTAGCAACTGTGTGTAAGTATCATCGCATGCCATTGTACCATTATTTTATTACATGCCCATGTAAGATACTGCAGTGTAATATTTTTACAGCACTATTCCACTAGTGTAATACTGCAAAACATATGACGTCACAATGCTAATACCTCACAATGGTATTAGACCTTGCTTGACTCGGGGAAAGCTGAGAGTTATCATACTGTAGGCACTTTATGTTGGACAGCTATAAACAGAATACAAAACTTGCTTCCGTTAAATACCATTTTTGTTAAACTTGTGAAAGATATAGTATCAAAACTTGCTTTCACTCGTTTGATACCAAATCATTAACTCATTTAATAAAAATGGTATTACACGGAAAGTCGTTTAGTATCCTCTGTGTACTAGTGTTGGGAATTGGTTAATATCTCATAATTGATGATTGGTTCATTACAACCGATCAATCATCGAAAATAATTGGTTAGCGTCATTTATGAAATTTGTTAATGCACATAAAAATAAGGAAAAAACATGTCGTTCTTTTGGAGCATTTTGGCAAAATTTCACATCTTTGAAGGATGACTAGTATGTTAGGAACATAAATTTCTTAGAGCCTTTAAGATAAATTCAATCATGACTTGAAACGAGCTTGTAGTGCTTACAAAATGTAACAGACAAAACCAACCATGTGAAATATATTGTTAATGAAAACAAGTGTTCCAAATTTGGTTGTGTTCGATTATGAGAAATTATGATCGATTGCTTGGTCGTTTAGTCAGTACGACCAATCTTCGATTATTTCAATTAATCGGACCACCACTACTATGTACACCATAGCATGTCCATAATCTCTTAACACAGAAACAGACCAATATTGCAATATTTCATTCCAGTATTAACTAAACACACATTCAACAAAGCAAACACTGAACATCTCCCTTTGACCTTCAAGGAATGATACCACACAGTTTCTAATAATGAGGTGGATGACCATGGTATAAAGAGGCTGTCCCATACTGATGTAGGTGTGCTGTTCCTAGTTGCAACGTGTGTGAATGACAGGTGTGAGAGATTCCTACAACTGATTGCTGCTTGATGGACACAACAGCCGCTGATTGACTGATCACTGCACTTCAGTGTCTATGTGTGGGCTAAACCAGTGGGAAATCCGATATCTTCAGCATTCTACAGTAATGGGTTTCTGATCCCTGAAATTGCAAGTAAGTATCTGTTTATGCTTGGCAATATTTTCATATTATCTGAGGATTTGAGACATGAGTTATGATTTGCCAATTAGAGATTGGATCGGGTGATCTTCAGACCGGACTAAACGGATGCCATGCATGGCTTGTGATGCTTAATCTGTAGAAAGTTTTAAAGATGTTCCTGGCCTGCTTGGATTCCATCTTATGAAGAGTACATGTATTTGTTTGTAAGGTTACATCAACCTGTTCCTGTAGCGACTTCCAGATACATTCCATTTTCCAAGACCTAGATGAGACGTTTTCGGCTGTACACCCCCAAGAGAGCTGATAATGCAAATGGATTACATTCATAAGGTTCAACTCTTGAGAATATGCTCTTGGGATATTAATTCTATCTCAAAAGGAATATTGGTTGATAAGGTTATGCCAGCCTGTTAACTTAATGTCTTCCAGATACATTCCATTTGCTAAGTGCTAGTTGAGATGTTTTGGGTTATATGTTCCCCAGGGAGTTGAGAATGTAAATGGCTTCCACACTGATATCCTGTTCCCTGGCCTTCTAATGTTCTGCTCTGTGAGCATACAACTGTATACGTTATGGTATTACTATAAGTTGTGTGAGGTTCAGGTTCACTGTCTATCTTGGAGTGGACCCGTGAATATTGATCTTCAGTAACCAACACTTGTCGTAAGAGGTGACTCACGGAATCGGATGGTCAGGCTCGCTGACTTGGTTGACACATGTCATCGGTTCCCAATTGCGCAGATCAGTGCTCATGCTGTTGATCACTGAATTGTCTGGTCCAGACTCGATTATTTAAAGGCCGCCACCATATAGCTGGAATATTGCTGAGTGCGGCGTAAAACTAAACTCACTCACTCACTGAAACTGAGTAAGGCTGAACTCATCTGAGGCAGGTGGTTTTCTACGTACACATACTGATTATCTCCTACACAGCTTATCATTAGATGGAGAGTTTCAAGCCATCCCTGTCATTTTATCTTGAATGAAATATCTTCAAGGAGAAAATAAAATATAGTACAACAACTATAGAAAGAGATAGGTGGGGGACCCAGAGGTAGAGAGGAGGGACTGACTGTACTACAACTATGGAACATATGTTTTGTATAGGAGAAAACACGCCCCCTCGGTTTTGGTAGAGAATGTAAAACCGAGGGAGGAGGGATTTCCCTCCTTCCAAGGTTTTACATTTTCTACCAAAACCGAGGGGAAGTGTTTTATCTACCATATAAACCGTCCGTGATGGATAATTATAATGTAGATGATCATTTAAGGAAGCTACATAACAATAACTGAAGCGCAAGTAAAATCAATTTAATGACAGTAACTATAAATAGATAATTCAACCCCAAGGACTTTGTTGGCTCGGTGGCTGTGAGGTAGAGCATGCGCTTATTAACGAGATAGATGCGGTTCTAATCCTCCTGGAGGAAACGTTTGCACTTTGAAATTGATCTTGGACAATGTTTTTCAATTGATTTCAAACACTCATATATCATTTGAATGTTGATGTTCATATAGAGTTAGGAAAAAATATTTACAAAATGTAAAACCAGAGAAGAGGTCTTACTTACAAACAGTAAAACCTGGGAAGAGGTCTTACTTACAAAAAGTAAAACCTGAGAGCAAACAAAAAGCTCTAATGCGGTTATTCCGGGAAAACAAGAGATGCTTAATATATAGTGAGAAGCATACTTTAGGTTTATATATTTTGATAACACTTTCTCTGCAAAGTACAGACTCTTGTACTATTGTTGGGTTGAGTCCCACCCGGGATTCGAACCCACACCCTCAGAGTCAGGCACCTATTTACCAGCATACAAAGTCAGCCACCTTACCCGGCTCAGCCACTTGGACTTCCACAAAAGTGGGAGTCGTACAATTAGTAGTTTAGACTGCAGACTTTGTGTACCCTTCTGAAAAGTACAACAAAAGTACAAGAATCTGTACTTTACTAAGAAAGTGTTATCTTAAATATAACATATGTTACCTTTGACCACTTTTAAATTGGTATTGTGTAATCATAGCTTTCGGCCGTGGGAGCATGCCAATTTACACTTTAAACCCACATCCTAACCCCAACCCCATACTCCCTCCCCCAAATGAGGTAAAACCTGATAGCCTACACTGTCACATTCCCCCACCCTCCCTCCCCCAAATGAGCTAAAACCTGATAGCCCACACTGTCACAATCCCCCACCCCCACCCCTCCCCAAATGAGCTAAAACCTGATAGCCCACACTGTCAGAGCCCCCACCCCCACCCTCCCCCAAATGAGCTAAAACCTGATAGCCCACACTGTCACAGAGCCCCCATCCAAACCTCCCCCCAAATGAGTTAACACTAAAGTGCATCACTCAGCCCCCCTCCCGTCATCTAATCCTGTGGTGTGATCAAGCTGGCAATGGACTCTTACATCTCCCAGTCTCTAGACATCCTCTACTGACAGTGGTCTCCTCTTGTATCTACACTCCTCCTCAACTGTCAGGTAGGTTATATTTGTACAGTGTATTAGTTCCTGTCAGCTTCCAAGGATGACTGATGATATGTAATACGTACAACAACTAGAGAAGCATCTCGTGAGGATCAGTGAGTAGCTGTTACTGGAATACTTCTCAGTAGAAACCCAGTTTCTTAGCCTGTTCTTTAAGTGTTCTATGTACAATAGCTTTGAAATATGTAATCTCTGTAACATGTTCTATTTGGGATTACACTTTCTCAGTAAAGTACAGATTCTAGTACGTTTATCGGTGTTGACTCCCATCTGGGATTTGAACCCACACCCAACCCCCCAATGGCACTGGTGCTGTACTTCATTCAGAAGGTATGATCCCAGATATAACTGAAGTTACATCCAACCACTTTCTAAAGGGTATTGTATATTCATATTTAATTCCTCCCCCTTCATACACCCCAATAAGGTTAGGCCTCCTTGTATTGATAAAATACATGTGTTGATGAATTCTGATTGAATACATCAAGCATCACAGGTAATAGAGTGGAGATGTCTCCAGCACCATGTTGTGGTTCTAATGCATGTTTTACAAAAAACTAAATCGGTAGGTTACTTACAAATTTTGGCGATGTAGTAGGCATGTCGTGTTGACATTGGGACATTGCCCATAAAGTCTACCTCTGGTTTGTGTGACCCAAGATTGATGATCATGTATACAGGCTGCAAATATATAGCTGACGATTCTTGAGACAGAATGACAATCAAATATCAGCAAAAATGCAAATCTTTAATTAACCATTTTCATCTACATTATTTAGCTTTAAATATTTTCTTTCATTATTAATAGGCATTGTTATCATTGTCATAGATAACAACTTCTTTGATTAACTAACGTATGGATAACACCTTCTTTGATGTAAAATTATAACAAAGTTTTGGTGGAGATCCTTGTACCCTTGTCACGACTGACTGAATAGTATAAACATGGTACAGAATTCTATGCCTAGTTGAAGGATTAACTGTAACAATTTATAAACTACAGAGTTTGTTTGTTGTTTACACTGCACTCTTAAATATGCCAGCTTTATGACAGCAGTGTGACATAACTCAGTCTGGACCAGACGATCCAGTGATTGATACCATGAGGCTCGATCTAAGCAACTGGGATTGACCCTGTTAGTTGTCTCTTGTGTTGCTGAAGCCCGATTCTTTCCTGGCTCTGCCTGGGTACATACATTATTAATTATCATGAGTTGGTTAAAAAATATCAACAAATTAAACTCACTCACTCATTTGGTGGTCAGTATCTAATGCGAAGAGATGAGCCACAGATTAGACATCAGAAGGGTGTGCACATTTCCTGTCATATCATGGTGGTTTTAAAGCTCTTTGCTATTGAGTTGATAGATTTACTTAAAATATAACAACGTAAGGGTTGTGATCTCTGTTGGTTGATGGACTGTGGAGGCACTACTGGACGGGACCACCTGGACAGCTTCTGGTATTCTTACATGGATTTGTACCCGTTATCTTCACCTGAGTTGACAATAGTCCCTGAACCGAATTATTATCCCCCGCAACGCGTTTTGCGGGGTATTAAAATGGACATTTGTTTTTCCAAAGCATAACTCTAAAACCGAAAGTGTTTCTTCACCAAACTTGGCACATAGATAGATCTGGTGGTGAACTGGTGCCTTTTGGTAGTTTTGGATTTCTGAATAAAATATGTTTTGCGTTTCCATGGCAACAATTTTGGCTTCAACTGAATTTGGTGGTATGAAAACTTTGAAACCTTTCAGTACTCTCCTTCCACTTAGCTATATACACGCCAAAACATTTGACATAATCATAACTCGTAGACATATTCATAAAGAGTATTTTGCCATTGCGGGGGATATTGATGACTTTGTCTTCTTGATTTCTCTACTACCCAACCCTTTCTGCAATGTAAAAGGCCTAAATGAAGCAATCTCCAAGCTCATTGGAGTGTCTTTTCCATCTAAATGTAGGTATTTGTATTTATGAAATTTACAAATTTTCAGAGTGTTACTCTAACAGCAGCACTCTGTCTCTTTGTCTACTGATACATCTGGTGTAATCCTACCTGGGTTGAATGAATCTGCTCTGTAGTAAAAACAATTAGAGTCATGTTGTACATGCTTATCAGCTGATTCTAGACATATGGTTTTTATACTGGGATACATTGATCACTTGAGATAGTGTTTTTTTCTCCAGCCTCTCTACAGCTACTGCAGATGTTTGTGATAAGCATCTTTAGATGTTGGTGGCGAGGAAGAGGTTCACTGACATTAATGTCAGATAAACTTGAAACTCATCTTCCTAATGTTTGTCTTAGTTGTGGTTCACATTTGTTGCCTCATACTGTGGAGATGTTCCTGGTTTCTGTCATAATTCCTTGAGGTTCCCATGTTCCAGAGTCTCAGTCTTGTAGAATCTCAGCATCGACCACACAGCATGTAAATATCCAAACTGAGACAATCTGTTAACCCACAAATATGTATGCAAAATACATAATTC